CGAAACGTTAAAAGTGTTTATGAGACTTCAAGATGCATGCAACTTTTTATTTCTTCAAGGAAAAACAATGATTCTGCTATAGCCTTGAGTCCTATAATTGAAAACACTAATATTCTACGACAGGAAAAGAACCGTAAAAACGTTAGTGAGATTGTTTTGGCCAACACAGTTCAAGACGTTTTTAAAATTTATATTCATATTAAAAAGGAATTATATAAAGAAAGTAAATCTTTGAGAATTATTGAAATTAAGATTTCTGTTTTTTTATTGACTTAAATGAATATTTTTACATAAGGTGTAGTGTTTTTGACAATAAATACTTCCTTCTTTTCTTTCGTTTTGGTAAAATATTACTTGGATTAAATATTTAATCGATAGACTAAGCGATTATGAAATCAGTGCATGCGAATTTTCATAACGACGCGAAGAGTCGACTGATAAGTCTTTCATAAGATAAATGATGCTTACAAGATTTAATCTCCTATAATTCTACATCGCTTTTTTGCATTAGTTTAAATGTTGTTTGCTTTGCTTGCTATCTTGTTACGCTTGTTATTGATGAAAATTCTACATGTGTCGGTGCTATTTTATGAGCTTTTCATTTTATTAATGAATAATTTTGTCTCTGTTTTAGTTGCCTTATTCGCTGCACAAACAGCTATTCTTCTAAGTGTACTAGCATCAGATTTTCGATCATTCTTCGTAGCACCTTCAACATGACAGCTGATACTAAAGGACACTCTCTTCCTTTTGTTTTGGTTTGGTCCGGCTATTTATTCGATGCAACTGGTGGTTCGAGACGCAATCGTCGATTTTTTTTATAAAATGTTGTATAAAATAAGACATGAACTATTATTGTTGTTCATTTCATTATCGGGTTGCTCATTAAGAAATCGAAATGAAAAGTAAATATACCAATGTGCGGCTGTGGATGATCTCTTCAGCAACACTCAAAATCTCCCTTAATAGGCATGCCGACAATTTTAAAAATCATTAGTAAATGAATGCCATCGTGCAACTCTTAATCATCAAACGGTTATCTAAAATCGAACTAATGAACTTAATTATAATAAAATAAGTGAGTTTTGAAGTTTTTCTCAAGGTATACCCAATGAAAAAATATCTTAAAAAAATAGCAGTGTCCGCGTTCGCCAGAATATTAAAAGCAATCCCTTGCTTAAAGAACGTGTTCTATAGTTTGATGAACGCGTTTCTACGCGCAAGAATACGTTCCGCATTTGAAGGAACGGAATGTTTATCGTTCCATGCTATTAATAGACAACCTTCATTCTGATTCAGAATCGTTCTTCACTTCAATGGAAAGCGATTTGAACCGTTCCACAGACTGTTGAAATGATTTCTTGTCGTTCTTTATTCGATTGATACCGAGCGGGTTCTGTTAAAATATGGTCACTTTCTTTTTTTTTTCTTTAGAGAACCCCCTAAGAATGAATTCCTCAAACTGATAAACATTTTCTAGGCGATCTAACATCATTCTTAAAAAAAGGAACTTGTTTCTTTTCGTTCTCGAAAGTACATAATGTTTCCACATGAATTCAAAAATCAATTTTTAAATAACACAACGTATTCTCCTCCGTGTCATATGCTCCATATCAATATTTTGTGGTAATGAGAACAAATATCGATTAATTGAGATTGCGTTTCGCAATGCTCTTATACAAATGCAATTTTTTGTCATTGATTTGTTCACTAAATATAATCACCAAAGTTTTAGGGCAAACAAGTTTACAATAGAAAAAATTATTAAACCGAAAATACGTTTAAAAAAATAAAATTAAAAATGAATTTAGATATTTAACATGTTCTTTTTTCGATTCTATACTTCCTTTAATCTCATATTGCCTCACATTTGCTACTTTTAAGATTAATTCGCACGATCTCTGGGTGCATAACTTTTATAAAAATACGCTCTACTATTTCGAATCATAACTGTATCGAATAAGCAAAGACTAATCATATTCGGAGAATGTTCATTATCTTTTCGTATGTTTTCCGTAGAAAGATGTCTTTTCGAGAGGTTCATAAATAAACTCAATTGGTAGATAAAAATTTGTCAATCAACAATTTTATGTTTCTACGACGCGACATATCCCTTCGCAGTATATTACTGTACTGAGTAATCGACGGGCTGTGTATGTTTATACGTATAGAAAGGAGAGAGAGAGCGACCGAAAAAAAAATAAATGTGGAAACTTCGGATTTCATCCAAGAGTTATGCGTACTGCAAAAAGTGCATGGGACATATGAGTCATTCTAGAATGTCTGAACACCAAAATCGTCATGAGAAACTAGGCAATTTGATTTCTGGATGCAGTTTTTGTGCATTTTGAGACGTTTTTCAGGCGATGTTTTATTAGAAAGCTACAAGTTCGTTCAAAACTAATATCAGATTCGGAATCAGCGTTAAAAACTGAGTCGATTTATATATGTTGTAAATAATTCCGAGAGAAATTTGTTTTTTGAAAAAAATCCCTGCACCTCTCCTCAGGGATGGCCTGGTTAAAAATGACAATTTTTTCGATAACTCAACCATTTCTTGAAGGATCTTTCTTATCTTCGAACTCGACCGAGATATTCATGAGATTGAACTGTGTGGAAAATTTCATCACGGTCTGACTCTCCTTTCGAAAGTTATTGTGCCTACGGCCGGACGGTCGGGCACACTGACCGATTCTAGAGTGTACTCACTTTTTGAGTACACAAAAAGAAAAGAATGCATCAATAGAAATTAAGAACATAGAAGAGAAAAAGATAACAAGTAGTTCTATTATTCTAAATCAAAATGATGGCTCCTTCGTCGATACTCAAACACCTAAAAATAGATAAAGATACTTGCCGATTTATAGTTTAATTATTTCAGATTTTGAGATGAGCACCGAAATCAAAGATAATAATAACAATATTCATTCCAATGAAGAAGTCAATCAAGATAATCATGAACTATCATAAGAAATCGATCAACCACCATGATCCGAAAATGAACAGGAAGAAAAAATAATTAAAGAATCATCTATCGATAATAAACAAGAAATTGAACCACCACTTATAACATCGAATAATGATGAATTTCCATTAGAAACTCCATCTATTGATGTTATCAATGTAAAAGAAGATGATTCAACAGCAGCAACTATACCTGAAGAGAATTCATTAGTAATACCAGGATCTGAACAGGATAATAATACAGTTGGTGATACTGTTCAATCAGAATCATCAAGTCAATATGATGATACTCATCAACTTTTACAAACTATAGCTGATAAATCGAATAAAGAACCATCTATAACAATATTAAATACAGTGAAACTATAATAAATTTTCTATAGCTGTTTTTTTCTTTCAAATTAATTTTATTATTTTAGCTTGTCGAAAGTGATTTTGATTTAGATAAAAATTATATAGAACAAAAACCAAAAAATTTACATGAGCTATTTTCTATATTTGATAAAATGTCATCATCATTACAAGCTGAAATACTTAGTGTATTAATTGGCATAGTGCGTAAAAGTGAACGTAATTTATTAGCATCAATTGATGCACAAATGTATGAAAATACATTAGAACTATTAAATAAAATTGATGGTGACGTTGTTGTTGCATATTTATTAGTTGATATTCTTACAGTTTTAACATTATTAACAATTAATGTTATTGAACTTAAACTTCTTTTACATTATCTTAAAACAGAAAATCGAATATGCGTATGAAAAAAAAAATTAATGGTTTTTTTTTGTTTAAAGAATTATGATTTTAGAAAAAACATGCCGTTAAATTATTAAGAGGTTTTCCATATCGACATGAACCTGATGAATTGTTTAATTTTCCTGGTCGAAATGATTTGCGTATTATTTTACCACCAATGCAAATTTGGTCATATCAAAGTGGTCTTACAAAATAACAACATGGTTTCGTATTGATCCTGTTGCTGCTAATGGTGTTATTGAAAAAGAAAACCCATATTTATATTGGTTTTGTACAACAAAATGTCATGGTTATATAGCACATTTTGTTGGTAATTGTTTAGTAATATCATATTCAAAATTAAAAGAAAAAGCGTTTCAACATTGTATACAATATGAATTTAAAGCACGCGAGGTATGTACTTGAGATTCGTTTTTTTTTGAAGCAGTCATATATAGATATTGAGAAGTTTACTTAATTTACTCATTGTAAGATTTGTCTTTTTTTGAAATTGTAATGTAGTAGTATACACTACTGTTGTTCTCGTTTCGTTTCTATTGTTTTTCTGTTTCTTTCGTTTCTGTTTTCACAGTATGCTAGAGATATACATATAGATATATGTATTGTTTTTCTTTCGTTCTCTGATCTTTTCTTGATCTCAACTTAGATTGGTTATTCTTAAAAGGAGAAATATTATTTTCGGTCGTGACCTTGCTTTCTCTATTACGCAATAATATTGTCAATTACGTAATATATATATTTTGTGCGTTTTGAAAAATAAACGAAGATTGTTAAGATTAGATTCTCTGGGAATACGTGACAGAAATAATCAATTATTTTATTGAATATTTTTAGTGTGTAGAAGTGTATAATATAAAAAATTTTCTTTGTTTATCATCAACTACTGCTTATGATATATCACAGTATTTACCACTTGATGAAAAACATCCATGTATCGGTGATATTATTACGAATACATATAGGAAAAGTAAATGTCTTGGTGAACATATTCTTAAAGATGCAGCAATTGTTCATCATGTTTGTATTCTTTTGTTATGAAATTGAATTAATCTTTTATAATTTTTTGTAGGAATGGAATATTATACTTTTACGTTGTTTTAATCAAGTTGGCGCTCATGAATCAGGTTTAATTGATGAAGATCCTCTTGGTAAACCGAATGATCTTATGCATTATGCTGCTCAAGATAGCTACTGGTAAATTACCATATGTTAATATCTTAGATACAGATTATAACACTCCGAATGGAGAAGATAAAGAAAAGAATCTTTTTAATACTAATTAAGAACTATTGAATTCATCTAGATTTTGAAGATTATATACATGTGGTAGATGTAGTTATCGGTCATATTGCAGCAATGAAAAAATTTGAAGAAAATTGTGGTTTAAAAGTTAGAATTAAAATCGCTTCATATTTTATTTATTCTTCATTTTAGATTTATAATCTTGGTACTGATAAAGGTTATTCAGTATTAGAAATGATAATAGTAATAGAAAAAGCATGAAAGAGAGTAAACTCTTATAAAGAATGTCCTCGATGTTCAGGTGATCGCGCAATTATTTATGCTGCTCCAGCATTAGAACTTGGATGGACAGCTAAACGAGATTTTGATGAAATGCATAAGTTAGATTTTGTTTTAATTATAGGTTAAATGTTATATTTATTATAGGTAGAGATTTATGGCGATAGCTGTCAAACAATGCAAATGGATTTCAATAGAATCTCACGCATATCATTGAATTTTATACAGATTTAGACGTCGTGTTTTCTTTTTCTCTTATCTACATATTTAGTCATCTTGTTTTATATCTAGTCATTTCTTTTTACTGAATTTTAGATGAGTAATATTTACATTCAAGAACCAGCTACTTGTGGAAAAGTTGTTTTAAAAACAACTGTTGGTGATATTGAAATTGTAAGATTATTTTGTCACCAAATATATAATATTAATGTGATTTTGTTTGATTAGCAACTGTTTTCAAAAGAATGTCCATTAGCATGTCAAAATTTTGTTCAATTATGTATGGATGGTTATTACGATGGAACTATTTTTCATCGAGTTGTACCTAATTCTATTGCAGAAGGTGGTGATCCAACTGGGAGCGGTGAAGGAGGTGAATTTGCAACTAGTGTATTCTTTCCAGTTCGTATCAATTCAATTTATTTTCATTTAACTCACTTTAAATTTAGGATGAATTTGATTCAAGATTATGTTATAATCGTCGTGGTCTTGTTGGTATGGTTAATCAAGGACCAAATACAAATGCTGGCCAATTCTTTTTTACATTGGGTACTACGCCGGAACTTGAGAAAAAGAATACATTATTTGGAAAAGTTGTTGGTAATACTTTATTTAATATGCTAAAATTAGGTGAAGGAGAAATAATTGGTGAAACACCGGTGCATAAACATAAAATAATTAAAACAGAGGTTAGATTAGAAAATAAGAAAAATAATAGATTTTAAAAGTTCGTATTATTTAGATTATATCAAATCCATTTGATAATATGGAACCACGACCTCGATCTAAACCACAAATTATTGATGATAATGATGAAGAGAATAAAAAATCAAAACAAACTGTATCTGCTAAAGCAATAAAGTAAATTTATTTTTATTAAGCAACAAAAAAAAGAAATTCTTTATTTTAATTAGAAATTATGATCTTCTTTCATTTGAAGATGAAGGTGAAGAAGAAATAACAAAAATTTCAGTCGTATATATACATTTCATTATTTGTTGTGATTTGTAAATTTAATATTTATAGAAATTTAAAGAAAAAGAAACTGGAAAAAGTGCACATGATTTAACAAATGATTCAACATTAAATAAAAATACAGTTCGATTAGATAAAGATAATGATGAAGAATTATCAATAAAAAAACAACAATCAAAACCAAAAGAAAAAACTGATGAAGATTTTGACAAAGAAGAACTTGATCGTGTAGGACAAAGATTTAATGCAAAAACATTATCAAAACAAGAAAAGAGAAAATCAGTTGTACTTGATGCAGATGATGATGATAATAATAATAATCAACAAGATATTTCATCATCAAAATCGTAAATAGAAAAAAAAGAAAAATCAACATTGATTTTGATGTTTTATTTTAGAAATGAAAATATTAAATTTGAAATTGAACGATTCAAAAAAGTATCGAAAAAATCATCAATACGTGTTGAACCATCAGAAGATACTGTTAAAGAAGAAAAAGAATGTAAGTTATTCCATTCTATAATTACATAAAGTTTTGACGAATCCTAAAGATTATAATAGTTTCTTATAATAAATGATAATTGTGTTCCATTATTTTATTTTCATTTAGCTGCATCTCATCCTATTCAACAAATTACTACAGATACTTTTATAGTAATGGATGAATCCATGGCTGGTACAAGACGAAATAATCAAAAAACTGATAGCAATGATTCCAATTCAAAAGAATCTCAAGTTTGTTCATATATTTTTTTTGTTTCCTTAATAAAATATTCTGATATGAGCTTTTTTCTTCTTGACATTTGAGCGCGCTTCAAATCACATATTTACCCACGGCTCGTATTTCATTTAAGAGCAACTGTGCTCTATTGAATTCACACACTCATATCCAGTAGCATCTGTATATCTTAAACGCAACAGGCTATCGATCTCAACGAATGGAAAATAAAGAGCTGAAAGTCAAGTCATGTAATTTTTCGGTCAATTAAAATACAGCATGCAATTTTATTCGTAATTAAGAAATGGAAAGTAGAGAGCTCTTCGCACCTTAATTCGCATTCTCGATAGAGTCGAGATGTCATCTAGTTTTTATTAGTTTACTTTACCAATGAAGGAAAATCATTTTCTATCACGTGGCTTAAGTAGGAATTTCGCTGGTGATTGAAAAAAAAGAAAGTATGAAATGATACATTGTTGAGATGAACTAATTCAGAAACTAAATGTGTTATAGACATATCTCAATTATGTACTTTTAGAAACCCTCTATACTTCGAGTCAAAATTACATATTACTTTCTTATTATTGAAAATTACTTTTTTTCATTATAGATAATCAACGTGTCTCCTAGTAAATTCAGTCAGCCACCATCACCCCTACAACCAAAAACACCAAAATATAATTTACGATCAAAGAAAATGACTGATGAGAACATTGATCATTCGATTGAGAAGTCGAATGACATGAAAATTAATGAAGGCATTATTATAAGTGTAACAGGTGAATAACATTAAAATGTACTTGGAGAATAACAAATATATGATTTCCTGATTTATTATAGATTTAATTAATTTATTATATGCACTGATCAAATACAAGAACATCAAACCAAGACAAGCTCGTTTTGAAGATATTCAAAATCAAATCAATGAAATTGATAAAATTATTGAACAATATTTATTTAAATTACCATCATTAACAAGTGTTGAAGAAAATCAATTGGTCATTTCTAACGTCAAAACTAATATAAATGTAGGAAAAAAACAAATTTATTATGTCATTCTCTATTACATAATCAACAAACATGGGTCCTATATAAAAAAGCAAGCACCATCTCTAGTTCATCTTGCTGCTTTTTTTAACTTATTAGAATTTCTTATCGACAAATAAGTATGAATAAAATTTGATGAAGATTGAAATGGAGGTGAGTGAGAAGTATTTTTCTGATGTGTTATAAAAAAAATATCATTCATTTGTTTGTTTTATTTCAGATGATGTTTTTATATCATACGTCATTACAGGTGTTGCATATCGCATTGTCGCAAGTAATCCATGTTGTTCTTGTCAAAGTGTCAACGACTTTGTTAGAGTTTCTTCGCATGGATTTACACCTGTTGACACATTCCGTGAAGCATCTATTAATTTTTTTAAATTGTTACAATCAATTTTATCAACTTCTTTTGTGATTCAATTGTATTGTGAGTTAATTAATTATGAAGAAAATGTTTCACAAGAAACAATTGAACAATCATTAAAAGACAATGTTTCAAAATTGCAAATGCATATGTATCTTGCGAATCTTCCGGATTATTATTGTGCATTAACTC